GTGAGTCACGGAGATCTGGATCCACTCTCCCCCCCCCCGAACACAAAGTTGAATCTGGATTTACCTCCCCCGCCACAAGGGAGGTAAATCCAGAGGGCAGACGGCTTTCTCCTGAACGTTGCCGATGGTTCCTCCAGGCACTGGGGTCACTCGAAGTTTGGGTGGTAAAACAGGGGGAACCCTGGTTTGGTTTTGCTTCCCCCCCCCCCCCCGGTCAAGTCCCAGCCGACTTACGGAGACCGGCAGTGTTCCCTCTAAGCTGAGTTAGTGTGAAGGTTCCCTTGCTCGAAAGCCAGTTGAATCCGACTCTAGGGTTGCGGTGCTCATCTCCGTTTCCAAGCCGAAGAGCCAGCGCTGTCCGAAAACGTTTCCGTGGTCGTGTGGTCGGCCGCCGGCATGACTAAACACCAAGGCGCACGGAACGCTGTTCCCTTCCCACCGAAGTGGTCCCTATTTATCTACTTGCAATTTCTTGCTTTCGAACGGCTAGGTTGGCAGGAGCTGGAACCAGAGATGGGAGCTCACTCCATCATGCGGCACTCGGGTCTCGAACTGCTGAACTACTGACCTTCCACAGCCTGCAGTTCAGCGTCTTAACTAGTTGAGCCACCGCAGCTCCACTAGTGTGAGCTAGCTCAGCGTCACAATATTTGCTTTACCTGAGCATGTAGCAATCTCAGTTTTTATCAATCACTACTTATCAACTCTTGAAGGAAATATTCCATGTTGACTCTCTAATGAAGAAGAAGAAGAAGAAGAAGAAGAAGAAGAAGAAGAAGAAGAAGAAGAAGAAGAAGAAGAAGAAGAAGAAGAAGAAGAAGAAGAAGAAGAAGAGAGGAGATTGGATTTATACCCCGCCCTTCACTACCCAAAGGTGTCTCCGAGCGGCTTACAAACTCCTTTCCCTCCCCCTCCCCACAACAGACACCCCGTGAGCAATGCTCCCTCTAAGCCGTGGAGTCTTGTGAGCAAAAATTCTACTTTGTGAGATGCTGGCATTAAAGTTGTGAGCGAGCAATTTGGCTACTGCATAAATTAGATTGCTCTGGAGCCACCCTTCCTGAGCTAAGACAAAAACGTGTGAGCCGGAGGCTAGAAAACTGTGAGCTAGCTCACATTAACTCAGCTTAGAGGGAACACTGCCAGTGAGGTGGGTGGGGCTGAGAGAGCTCTTGACAAGAACAGCTCTTATCAGAACTACGGCTTGCCCAAGGCCATCCAGCCAGGTGCGAGTGGAGGAGTGGGGAATCAAACCCGGTTCTCCCAGATCAGAGTCCGCACACTTAACCACTACACCAAACGGGCTCACACATTTTTGCCTTAGCTCAGGAAGGAGGGCTCCAGAGCAAAGTAATTGATGCAGCAGCCAAATCTCTCGCTCACGACTTTCATGCTGGTCACTCGCAAAGTAGAATTTTTTGCTCACAAGGCTCCACGGCTTAGAGGGAGCATTGCCTGGTTGGGTTTTCGAGGCAAGAGACATTCAGAGGCGTTTTGCCCCTCCCTGCCTCTGCGTAGAGAAGCCGGACTTTCTTGGTGGTCTCTCATCCGAGTACTAACCCTGCTTGGCTTCCGAGATCTGACGAGATCCGGCTAGTTTGTGGTAATGGGGCCCTGAAAACCACATTTGCCTGTTTCCAGAGTATGTGATGTCAAATCAACACACCTTGAATGTGTATTCAGAATAGAATAGAAACTTTTGCTCTATCCAATCGACAGGTTCGCTTGGACAGGTGAGGGCTCAGTTGACAGAGGGGTTTGGCAGGATTACTGTTAGAGAAAGGATCCCCCAATAGTTACATAGGGTTACCAACTTCCAACTGGGGCCTGGAGTAGTTCCTTTGTGCCGGCAGGGGGATTTGGGGAGCCAGTTTGGTGTCGTGGTTAAGTGTGCGGACGCTAATCTGGGAGAACCGGGTTTGATTCCCCACTCCTCCACTTGCACCTGGCTGGATGACTTTGGGCAAGCCATAGTTCTGACAAGAGCTGTTCTTGAAAAAGAGCAGTTTGTGTCAAGAGCTCTCTCAGCCCCACCCACCTCACAGGGCATCTGTTGTGGGGAGGGGAAGGGAAAGGAGTTTGTATGCCGCTCTGAGACACCCTTGGGTAGTGATGGGCGGGGTATAAATCCAATCTCTCCTCCTCCTCCTCTTCTCCTCCTCCTCCTCCTCCAGTTTGGTGTAGTGGTTAAGTGCACGGACTCTAATCTGGGAGAAGCGGGTTTGATTCCGCACTCCTCCACTTGCACCTGGCTGGATGACCTTGGGCAAGCCATAGTTTTGAGAAGAGCTGTTCTCGAAAAAGAGCAGTTTCTGTCAAGAGCTTTCTCAGCCCCACCCACCTCACAGGGTGTCTGTTGTGGGGAGGGGAAGGAGTTTGTAAGCCGCTCTGAGACACCTTTGGGTAGTGAGGGGCAGGGTATAAATCCAATCTCTCCTCCTCCTCCTCCTCTTCTCCTCCTCCTCCTCCTCCAGTTTGGTGTTAGTGGTTAAGTGCACGGACTCTAATCTGGGAGAAGCGGGTTTGATTCCCCACTCCTCCACTTGTGGCTGCTGGATGACCTTGGGCAAGTCGTAGTTCTGATAAGAGCTGTCGTTGAAAAGGAGCAGTTTCTGTCAGAGCTCTCTCAGCCCCAACTACCTCCCAGGGTGTCTGTTGTGGGGAGGGGATGGGAGAGGAGGGTTGTAAGCCGCTCTGAGACTCCTCTGGGTAGTGAAGGATGGGGCATAAATCCAATCTCCTCCTCCTCTTCTTCTTCTTCTTCTTCATTCCTGGAGTGGGATGCTGCGTGATGCACTGACGTCACCGGAAAGTGACATCAGTGCTTTGGTGACGTCAGGGGGAGAAGCTCTGCTTTTTGGGCAAAACACTACAGTTTGAGGATAACGTCACCATAGAGTTTTGCCCCCAAAGCAGAGCGTCAACAGACTCCCTATGTCGCTGACACACTGACGTCACTTCGAGAAGTGACATTAGCCCATTGCATGCAACGTCGCTGTTTGGGTGTGTGTGTGGGGGGGAATTTCCTCCCACCATCCGGCTGTCCCATGGTGGGAAGGAGGAAATGAACACCTTTGGAGGGTGGAATCTATGGCATCATAGCGCTGCTGATCTCCCTCCCGTCCCCCCAACCCCCCCCCCCCCCCCGCTCCACTCCCAATCTCCAGCAGTTTCCCACCCCAGTTGGCCCTCTTCTACTCTGTTGTCCTCCGGCGTTTGCTCAATTTCATGCCTGTTGCATCGATAACTGTTGGGTATTACAAGTTGAAAACACTCAGTATATCTGGGGTTAAATGTTTGTTTATGTTACTCACAGGAAGTCACATGTTTCTCATGTAACCAATGTTCTTTAGATGTAGGAAGCCCGGGAATTTTCTCCCTGATCTAGGAGTTTGATTGGGACTAAAGTGTCAAGGTGTATTACCATTTTATGGCTTCTCTTCCCGTCTTTGTTTGGTGTTCTGAAGAAGAAGAAGAGCAGCCATACTCTTCTAGTTTTGTCTTTGTAGAGTAAGGATGTAGCCGATTATGCTCTGTTGTTATGTTCATCCCAGTTACCCTTCCCCATGCTAGAATTTAGTAAAAACTTTATATTTTAATCACACATGGACTCTCAGTCTGAATTATTTTACTCTGGCACTGCTGGACTATATTATCTCTGCTAAATACCATTTTTTCAATATCTCACTATCACCCAACAATCACACTGTCCAACCATCTCATCCTTTGCCATCCCCTTCTTCTGTGACCTTCAGTCTTTCCCAGTATCAGGGTGTGAGGATTGCCATAGGTGATTGGAGCCTCACCCCTTATTTCATTATGACTTGGGCCCCCTGATTGGAAGAAATACTCACAGAGCAGTAACTCAGGCAGAGAGAGGACAAGCATCCCTCTTTGCGGGCAGAGGATTCTGCAGCGTCGCTGACGTTTCGTGCAATCTAGTCACAGCAGGTGTAAAAATCCGGAAGAAGTGTCGGCCTTCAACAGAAGTCAGTCGAAAGTGTGTGGGGGGAGCATTTTTAGCCAGGAAGATTTGCTTATTCCTGTTGGCATAGAATCATAAGGTTGGAAGGGACCTCCAGGGTCATCTAGTCCACCCCCCTGCACAATGCAGGAAATTCACAATGACCTCCCTCAGTGACCCCTGCTCCATGCCCGGAAGATGGCCAAAAAATCCCTCTAGGATACCATGCCAAACTGGCCTGGAGAAGAATTGCTTCCTGACCCCAAAGTGGCAATCGGGCGTGTAAGAAAGGGCCATGAGAACTAGGCACTGAGCAACAACCTTCTTTTGTGTATGTTGTGTGTGTGTTTGTATTTTTCATATGTGCATGCAATGCTCCCTCTAAGCTGTGGAGTCTCGTGGGCAAAAATTCTACTTTGTGAGTGACTGGCATCAGTGTTCCCCCTAAGCTGAGTTAGTGTGAGCTAGCTCACAGTTTTTTAGTTTCCGGGTCACACCTTTTTGTCTTAGCTCAAGAAGGAGGGCTCCAGAGCAAACTCATTTATGCAGCAGCCAAATCGCTGGCTCACAACTTTAATGGCAGTAGCTCACAAAGCAGAGTTTGGTTCACAAGATTTAGAGGGAACATTGACTGGCATTACAGCTGTGAGCGCGCGATTTGGCTACTGCATAAATTATTTTGCTCTGGAGCCATCCCTTCCTGAGGTAAGACACAAATGTCTGAGCCGGAGTCTAAGAAACTGTGAGCTGGCTCACACTAACTCAGCTTAGAGGGAACACTGGTGTGCACCGGGAAGTCATGGTGACCTCTGGTGACTGACCCCTACCGGGGGCCTGGGGGATATCCAGAGAGGTGGCTGAATAAGGCCTGCCCCCGCCTCCCGACTTCTGGTATTCCAAGGAGGTCTCCCACCCAAGGACTTGCCAGAGTCGACCCTGCTTAGCTTCTGAGATCTGACGAGATCGGGCTTGCCGTGGCTAACCAGGTCAGAGCAAGACCTGATACCTTGACAGCCTCTTGTTTCTCTTCTTGCAGCCACGCGGGAATCTGCCTTTGTCCACGCCATTGCCTCGGCCGGGGTGGCTTTTGCTGTGACCAGATCCTGCGCCGAAGGCTCAGCCACCATCTGCGGCTGCGATACGCGTCACAAGGGTCCTCCGGGAGAAGGCTGGAAATGGGGCGGCTGCAGCGAGGACGTGGAGTTCGGGAGCATGGTGTCCCGGGAATTTGCAGACGCGCGGGAGAACCGGCCGGATGCCCGATCGGCCATGAACAGACACAACAACGAGGCTGGGAGAACGGTAAGGCTTTGTGTTGTTCCTTTGGCTCAGAGTTGGTTTTATACCCCGCCCTTCCCTCGGAGTCTCAGAGCAGCTTACACTCTCCTTCCCTTCCTCTCCCCACAACAGACACCCCGTGAGGTAGGTGGGGCTGAGAGAGCTGTCTTGAGAACTGCTCCTGAGAGAACAGCTCTGAGAGAACTGTGGCTTGCCCAAGGTCACCCAGTAGCTGCATGTGGAGGAGTGGGGAATTGAACCCGGTTCTCCCAGATTAGAGTCCGTGCTCTTAACCACTACACCAAACCAGTGGTGACATCCTTGCATTGGTGACGTCAGGGCGCACTCTGGTATTTGGGCAACAACTCTATGGTTAGAAATGTGAAGGCCCGGAAGAAAACCAAAAAAAATTCTGGGGGAAAAACGTCCCCCCCCCCATTTGTTTCCTGAAGCCTTTTTGTTTTTCCCGAAAAATTGAAAACATTGAAAAAAGAAAAGGAAAGGAAAAAAAATTGATTATGGAACATTTTATTTTAACATGATGAATAAAATATTTTAAGACAAGGTGTTCAAATATTTTCCAAATCATTTCTAAAATATATATATATATGGTATCAGATTGATCTGATTTCTGTGCACTGAGGACAAGCAAGTCCTAGGTTACAAACTGAACTCTCCCATGCAAGAACAAGATGCATTTCTTCCTTTAGGAGGTGTGATCGTCAGAAGAAAATAAAAAGGTTTCAGTTTTGTTTTTGCATGTGGGTGGGTATTCTGTTTGTAGTAACTGTTTGGATACACTATATTTTTAATATGCTAGTTGTGATAATTTCATGCCAAGTAAAAATGTCCATAGTCATATTTTATGTTCCTAAAGTAACAGAATGACTTTCAATCTAGAAAAAACAAAAGAAATGCTAATGTAGCTGGGGTTTTTCAATTTTTCTCAAAATTTCCGTTTCCCCCCGGAAAAAAACGGGGAAAAAATGGGGGGTTTTCCGAGCTTCAAAATTTCCGGAAATTTTACATCTCTATCTGTGGTAGAAGCTATGTCTACCATAGAGTTTTCGCCCAAACGCCAGAGTGATGCTACAACGTCACAACGTGGCAACGTCACTTCCGGTAGATGCTGAAAGTGATGTAGCCACATCATTGGTGGTGTCATCTGGGCCCCCTTCCCACTCCTGTTAAGTCCCCCCCCAACCCCCACCAGTTGCCCGGAGGGACTCGACAAGCCTAGCCAAGCCCTACCTATGTATGGCGAGAAAGGGGCGGGGAGGATCGAACCCAATCTGCACCGCTGTAATTCCGGACCGAGAGGAAGCCCGCTGCAAAACTGGCTCTATGTACTCTGGGGCAACAGTGTTCCCAACCAGTGTTCCCTCTAAGCTGAGTTAGTGTGAGCCAGCTCAGTTTTTTTAGCCTCCGGCTCAAACATTTTTATCTTACCCCAGGAAGGAGGGCTCCAGAGCAAACTAATTTATGCAGCAGCCAAATCGCTCGCTCAGAACTTTCATGCCAGAAGCTCACGAAGTGGAAGTTTTGCTCACGAGACTCCACAGCTTTGAGGGAGCATTGGTCCCAACCTGGGGTGACCACAATGTAATGCAGAATCGACCAAAAACCCGGGATAAAAAGAGGGGTGAACTCGAGTGTAGTGCAGAATAGCTAGTAGGAGACGGCGTTGAACCAGGATTAAAGGTCTCGTGTGGAAAGGGTCCCTGAAGAAGGGACACGTTGCTGGTTGACTGCCAGAATGACATATGCGCAAAGTTGGAAACAGGAGGAAGTTCCTGGAACTGGAGAATGGATTAAAAAACTACTTTTTATGGTTGAAATGGATAAGATGACAAGGAAACTGAATAATATGGCAGCAGAAGACTTTTTTGAAGATTGGATTTAAAAGAGTATTTGGAAAAATACTGGGATGTGAGAGACAATTTATTTTGCTTTGATAACTATTGAGTATAAGAGAATTGTGAAAAAATAAGTTACCTGTAGAATATGTAAAAGATAAAGAGGAGTACTTAAGAGTAACCTAAAGATTATGCAGGAGGTTGTAGCACTGTGGGAAGCCATATATAGGTGGGGAAAGGGAGGAGGGTAGGATATAAAGGGATAAGAACTGTAATACAAATGTTGAACTTTGTTGAATATATCCTAAAAATAAAATGTTTACAGAAAAAAGGGACACGTTGCTGGTGCCCACTAGTGGACCTCCTGGTGGCCACGGCAGCAGTACGCCGAGCTGTAGGCAATGGAACGTGGACAGTGGGAGGGCCTGTGAGTGGGAGAAGGATGCACGGGCAAGTGGGGGGCACACAGGTGTGAGGGGGGATTCAGGCCAATCGTAGAAAAAAATGAGTGGGACAGACTAGAAGCTCATCCATTCATTAGGTTTGAGAATCAGGCACGTAAGTCATCTGCAGTTCCAAACTATGCATCTATATATCTAATTCTGAAGTCGCCCCCTGGTGTGCGGATACCTAAATCCGTGCACCGGGGGGACCTGGGGGGGGGAGAGTTTTGTGCACACGTGGGGCGGTCCCCAGGTGTGCACAAAAATCGTAAAACTTAAAAAAACTATCAGGGGGATACTTAAATCCCCCCAAAAGTCACAGAGCGTCTCCTGCGCAGGGAACGCTCTGCGACCTCCCTCGCCGCCACTCGGGGGGGGGGAAGAGCGCAGCGAGGCTGAGCAGCAAGCCGCTCGGGCCTCGCTTCGGAGGGGGGGGAAGAGCAGCGAGGCCCAAGCGGCGAGCGGCTCCGGCCCCTGGGGAACCCTCGGCGCCCCCCCCCGCCGCCCCCGGGGGGGGGGGAAGAGCGCAGCGAGGCTGAGCAGCAAGCCGCTCGGGCCTCGCTTCGGAGGGGGGGGAAGAGCAGCGAGGCCCAAGCGGCGAG